CTGATAATGGACCTTCATTTACTAGTCAAGAATTTAAGAAATTCATGTCTCTAAATGGTATTCGCCATTCACTAACAGCTCCTTACCATCCGAGGTCTAACGGTCTAGCAGAAAGAGCAGTGCAGACATTTAAGAATGCTATTAAGAAGATGGAAGGACCACTACATGAAAGAATTGCTCGATTCCTTTTCTCTTACCGAATCACTCCTCAATCTACTACTGGGCAATCCCCAGCTGAACTCTTAATGGGACGTAGATTAAGATCAGTCTTAGATACTGCTCACCCAGATTTCACTCTACCTTCACAGAAAGAGAAGACTAAAAGCAATGCAAGATCATTCAAGCTACATGACAAGCTGTTTGCAAGGAACTACTCTGGGAAGCCATTATGGATTCCTGTGGTTGTCTGTAAGGTCACTGGACCATTGTCTTACCATGTTGAAACTATGGATGGTTTAGTGCTTAAAAGACATGCTGATCAGCTCAGAAAAAGGTACACTGAAGACTCTGAGCCAGATACCCTGCCGGAGGACAGTGATTGGGATGATGATTTCACTCCATTGATTCCTAACGTGCCTCCACCTCCTACTCCGCCTCCTTTGCCCCCACCGATTCGTCGATCGACTCGTTCAAGGATGACTACTGATCATGGGCCGTATGTATGTTAACTTAAGAGGGGAGGGGTGTTATATATTGATATATTATTTTGGTATTGATTCCTATTATTATTTTCTAAGGCATTTTGATTACAGTTATTTCTAGTATTATTATTATTGTTATTATGATTATTATTACTACCATTGTTATTACAATTATTATTATTACTATTATTAATTATTATTATTATTGCATTGCTGTATGATGTTATTTCTTTTCCTTCTAGCTGATGCTTATGATTTACTATGCTTATTAGTTCATGTATACTGATTCTGATTGTTGTGTAATGTTTAGTCATTGTGATGTAATATGATGTAATACTGTTTGTATATAAGTGTATGCTCTTTTCATTTTTGTCAGAAGAGATTTTAGCCTTTTTACAATAATCAATATTTACAAAATACGAAGGTCAAGCTCTCTCCATTCGGTCACTACATCAACAGCTGGTAATAGTGAAGCATCAGTTTCGTCACCACATACTTCAACTGGTATATCTCCTTACAGTCAATGTGGCTTTGATCTTAGGGGAGTATATGATGTGACAGCTGAATTGACTACAGATTATTCAGCTGAAACACTTTCAACTGGTAAATAAAAGTAATAATTGCTATTGATAGTTATTTTATTATCAATCTAGCCCCTACTGCATCAGTGGGTGATATTATATTCTCATCAGTAGAGTCAGTGTCAATGACTGTCTCATGGGATAAAGTACCTTGTAATGGAAGGAATGGACCAATCACTGGATACTACCTCACATACACTAACATCACTTCAAACACTAGTTATACTGTTAATATCACTGGAGGAGACAACAGAATGTATAATCTCACAGGATTAATACCATATACTAACTATACTGTGAGTATAATACCTTATAATTATAATATGAATGGACCAGCTAGACAAGGAATACAATTAACTGCTGAATCAGGTAAGTCAATGAAATATTGATCAGTTTAACATGATCTTAACACAGTTCCAGGTCTGATATCTAATTTAAAAATATATGCACTGCCACCAACTCAAATAACTCTTCTATGGAATCCTCCTACAATACCTAATGGTATCATTACAGTATATGAGATAAGATATAGAGAGTCTACCAGTACTGGTCCATACAATATAACTAGCACTACTAACACTTATTACAATACAGTAGGATTGATACCTAATACTAGTTATACTATTGGAGTGAGAGCATATACTAGTATTGGACCAGGAGAATGGACTCATAGAGAATACACTACTATTGAAATACGTAAGAAATTATTGAGAATACTATATAGTCTATGATAAATGTTTTAAAATTTTTAGCTGTCATTCAAACCTTTTCTATAACAAAGCTCAATTCTACAGCAGTGAGGGCTGAGTGGAGTTTTGTTTCTGGAGCTAGTCATTATACTGTCTATTATGAGTCAACCAGTAGCTCCTCAAGAAAGAAGAGACAAGTAGAGACAGGAATGAGAGTATTCCCAGGTGATACTACTGAAGGTCTAATAGGAGGATTAGATCCTAATCTGAACTACTTGTTCTCTATATCTACATCATTTAATGTTAATGGAATCATTTATAAAGGAGAAAGGACTCAACCAATACCACCAGGTAATACTATAATGAGCCACTCCATATATGTGTATACATCATTAGTCATTAGTGTTACATTATCATCAACAAGTAAGACAGTACATATACTAATAGATGTATGTAGTCAGTTTATTTTGAAGTAATGTCATTAATAGTGAAAACATATAACTGTTGATGCATATATTAATCAGTTTATGTTTTTAGTTACTTATTCTGCTGAAACAACTACCATGACTACTCCATTGACTACTGTATTAGTGAATAATGGAGGGAATATTGGAGTGATAGTTGGCCTAAGTGTAGTTTTTCCTGTATTATTAGTACTGGCTATAATTATTATACTGGTGCTGGTTATGTACATAAAAAGAACTAATATTAATCAAAAAAGGTAAATGTGTACACATTCATTACTGAATTAATTTTAAAATTTATAGAAAATCAGATAATGACATTGTAATGGAATGCAGTCCAGCTTATGCCACAACTGAATTTAAAACAAAGTTAGTTACACTATTGACTAGTACATTATGTCTATACACACACACATACAGTACTACTGATGATATACTAATGAAAGATAGTCCAGCATACAGTACAGTACAACAAACACAGTCAGTTATATAAAATACAATTATTATTATTATTTAAAGTTATTATTAATAGATCAACTGTTGAGCCAGTGTATGATACAACTAATAATGAATATGAGACTCCTCTTCCACCACCTGCTGAATATGAAATACCAACTGTTTAATAATGTACTTATCTTTTCTGTTGTAAAAACTTGGAATAGTAATTAAGTCAATTTAAATATGTGCTTGTGATAGAGAAATTTTTTAAATATTAGTTGAAATGCCACATTCACATCATGATAAAATGAAATTTAGTATAGCAATTGAATATCAAAAATAGACTGATTTAATGTAACTAATAAAATTATGCTAATTACTGATGCACATTAATTTTCCTGGTCATATAATTTTGGCATTTGACTGAAAATTTAATAATAGATGTCTATTAATATATTTTTGGTAAATAATGTACATGCAGTGCTCGTAATAGCTGGTTATTTATGTTGTCACTGTGATGTCATCACTGCTGTACTCAGCAACTGATAACTTAAATAGTTTTGTCTGGATATATTAGTGTTGTAGAGGAGCTACTCCTTGAATATAAACTTTCTAGATCTACATGCAGTGAATCATTTCTAGGAAATAGGATGACACTCTCAACTTGTTTTCTTTTAAATTTCATGAAAGCATACTACCTTATGGTTAGTTTACTGATGGTACAAGCAGCAACAGAACAATGCTCCCCCAATGTGAACAATAGTAAGAATTGGTACTTAATCATAATAATTATTAGTATTCTGTATTTCTCTTTTTATAGCTAGTCATACTCTAGCCCCTACTGCACCAGTGGGTGATATTATATTCTCATCAGTAGAGTCAGTGTCAATGACTGTCTCATGGGATGAAGTACCTTGCAATGGAAGGAATGGACCAATCACTGGATACTACCTCACATACACTAACATCACTTCAAACACTAGTTATACTGTTAATATCACTGTAGGAGACAACAGAATGTATAATCTCACAGGATTAATACCATATACTAACTATACTGTTAGTATAATACCTTATAATTATAATATGACTGGACCAGCTAGACAAGAAATACAATTAACTTCTGAATCAAGTAAGTCAATGAGATATTAATGAGTTTAACATGATCTTAACACAGTTCCTGGTGTGATATTTGATCTAAGATATGGAAAAAATCCAGATGCAATTAATATTGCATGGAATCCTCCTACAATACCTAATGGTATCATTACAGTATATGAGATAAGATATAGAG